TTTAAAAAAATTTCCAGCACCTTTGTACGCAGCAAAAAAAATGTTCGTCAACTCATTTTTCCTCTTTGACTTCTTCTCTCTTAGTTTTTAGCCCTTTGCAAGCCCGGGGAAACCGGGCACGCTCGCTCATTAAGGTAAAACAAAAGGGACGGTATTCCGCTTACGTCAATGTAGCGATGTGTCTTTTAACCCATATTTATGTACACCTCATTTACTCGCCTCCATAACTATGTACAACTCCAATATTCGTGAAATGTGCCTCTAACGATGCGCCTCCTAATACACGGGGGGGTAGAGTTATGAACTCACCCTATAGACTGTTGCACCCTTAAGTGATGGATGCACAGAAAGTCCAAGTACATTTGGACACACATGTATGGTACATTAGGAAAAGAGGGCACATACATCTTCTCAGTGACTCAAAGAAAGTCGAATCGCATTCCCCAGTTCATAAGGGGTACTTAAAAATGAAAAAGGAAAACAGGAAATCACACCTTGCGGTGCTACTCAACGGTGCTAAAACTCTTTACAAGTTCCACCTTTCAGCCAACCTCGACGAGGTGCGCCAAAGGAGAAAACACCCACGCAAAGCGCCCTGAGTCACTGATAAGAAATTTCCTCTACATGCATACGCATATAGTGCCTCAGTACGGGGGTGGGGTGGCCCCCCTTCTTCGTTCCCTACTTCTTCTTGTACAGGCCAGAAAATAGCCGTGTGATCTCCTGGGACCGTTCGAGGTCGTGGAAAGCCTCTTCGAAGGACTTTCTATCCATAGCCATCGCATAGTCCCGATTATTCATAATGGTTTCATGACAATGAGAAAGCAATTCGTCCTTTGTCATGTTCCTCAAAAGGAGAGCATTCATAATGATGTCCTTTATCTGATCTGATTTTTTCTTATGCTGGGATGTCTGTCCAAGGTTGACTTGATCAAAATCTATTCTTCCACTTAGAGGATCTATCAAACTTTGAAACGTAGCAATGTTCATAAGCCGCACAGCTTCGTTGGCTTCTTCAGGAGTAACTACATCTTTGAGTTTCATTCTTGCTAAACTTTGGCTCAATCGAACGAGTCCTTCCAACTGTCTGGGGCTAGCTGTTGGAGATTTTGATCCTTCCTTGCATCTCATTTTTATGTATTCATCAATTATAATTTTTTTGCTTTCTAGCGAAATGATAGGATTGCAGGTTATGCGGCAGTAAGCTATATACAAGGCCAGGGTGTTCGAATCAATTTGATACTTTTTGGACTTTTTGTTACACGCCTTGTTCGGGTTAGCAGTGTGGTCTCCTCCTATATGATGCCTCCTCCTTTGGTATGGTTCTGCGCCATCGCCAGCGTCCAACTCCGAAGGAGATTTTAACTCGTCACCCGATTTGGAGTCGGAATCTGATTCGTCATCCGTGTCCGAGTCTGACTCGTCTTTCGCGCCGTAGGAAAAGTTTTTGCAAAGCACGGTGGCCAATTTTTTGTCTTCCTCCTCATTCGCCTGATCTATAACGAGATAGATCAAATCAAATCTTGAAAAAAGGGATGGTGGTAAGTTGATATTTTCCACAACAGCTTTATTCTTATCATATCTACTGTTAATCGGATTAGCAGATGCAAGAACGGATGTACGAGCATTCAGTGTTGCCACGATTCCTGCCTTGGCAATGGTGACCGTCTGCTGTTCCATAACTTCGTGTAAAATTGCCCTAGCGGAGTCATCCATTTTATCAAACTCGTCAATGCAGCAAATTCCTTTATCAGACAGAACAACTGCACCAGATTCTAAGATGTATTCTTTCGTCTCGGAGTCTTTCGAAATGAAAGCAGTCAGACCGACACTGCTACTCCCTTTGCCACTTGTGTAAATACCTCTTGGGGATAATTTATGCACATAATGCAAAAGTTGGGATTTGGCTGTAGAAGGATCTCCACATAGTAATATATGAATTTCAGATCGATATTTATTTTTAAATTTATCCGTAGTTTTGCTTCCACCGAATAATTGGCAAAGGAGACCTTTCTTGATATCGTCTCGTCCATAAATAGATGGAGCTATAGAATCAACTAGCCGTTGGTATATATTTGGGTCTTTACTCAATTTTTGCATTTTCTGTATTACTTCTGTGGTGAAGAGTAGATTTCCTTGTTCATTTAATTTTTCGAAATTTTCTTCCACTGTTCCGTCGTCATTTCTTTTTAAAATAACTGATGCAGTGTCATTCTGTTCAGTTAGTTTCATCTTCTGTTTATTTTCCTTTCTAATATGTATGACGTTGATATAGGTTCTATGAACACTATTGTAACATCTGGACCTGGGATTTAATCTTACTGGAGAGGCTTTCAGAATTCCGGTCAATTCAACCGTGTCTCCTGGTTTGGTGTAGTCTATCAAATCGTCATATGCATATATAGAAATGGATTGAGGAGTCTCTCCTTGTTTCAAATGTTCAGTGACTTCACTCAATTTGATGAGTTGCTTTGAAGAAAAGCAGCAATTGTTATGCCATAATTCAAAAGTGTTCTTATTATTACAGTTTGTACAGGTTAGAGGTTCTTGTACTTCTCCTTGGATGACATGTTCATACACTTCTTCATTGCACTTTTCATAATTATTAACACCTATTCTTTTTTTAGATGTACATTTAAAAGCAGCCATGGTCATTTCAGGGATTATATTGGAGCATCTGATTATAACTCCTTTTATACACACTAATGTTTCTATATGATTTGGTCCTAATTTTCTAGGGGTATCCTTATGTCTTTTGTTAAAGAATCGAACCCTACAATAATCCTGCTTTCCGTTGATGAGGGAATACTTATCTGATGCATTCGATTTGGTGTCTCCCTCGAGTACTAATGATAACAGGGAGTTATACTTGGCACTTATAATTTTATCAATCTCGCTGATGCAGTCGGATGGGTACTCTATAATTAGTTTATACAATTTTTTGTTAAAGAAGTAAATGTGTGTTAAGTCCACTTCAAACGACTTTATGTGTTCCAAATTTTTTACTGCATCTGAATCAGTTTCTTCCACTTGGTTGTTTAGTTTGCATTCATTTTGTCGACCCGTCTCAATAAATTTTATCATCTTCCATCCATAGTAGGCCAAGTACACCTTCAAGTTATCCCTGTGAAGAAGGATATACTCTGTGATGCTTCTGTCCTCATCTGTGAACTGCAAGACGTCGCTATAATTTGTTATATTAAATTCGTCAAAGAATTGGTTGAACAATTCTTTTATTTGCTCCAAATTAGAATCAATAAAATGGGGTAGTCTTCCTGATTCCACGTCTTCCATGAAAGCCTCCCTGCCTACATCTCCTATGTCGGCTCTTGCGCATTTTATTCTTCTGATCGCTAGAGGTGTGTGTCCGTACCTCAGAAACTGGGACCCCGTGTTGCTGTGGTTTAGGTACTTGGATTCGTTCAACATACTGTTCAGGAAGCTGCCCTTGCTGTTTTTCGTCCTCCTGCTGGACACGGGCGAGTTCATGAAATTGCTTCCAAAAATCTCATTGTTCGTGCCAAAAATGTTCGAAGAGCTCATCGCATAGGGGCTAGTGTTCTGCCCCGGTCGGCGTCGCGGAGTTCCCATTTGTGAGGTGATCAGCGCTCAGATAGGCGGCACGGTTAAGCCGCTAAACAGTTAAGCATCCACGCGGGCAGCGCGGGAGAGTGAACCAGGTGAGTGCGTTGCCTGCTTTTGCGCGCCTCAACCCAGGCATACACACCTCGCGTGGGTGAACGAAATTGCGCAAGGTACAATAAAAATGGATAAAGGGGTAAAAAAAAAAAAGGAAAAACTGCGCAGATTTCCCTTTGTCTTTGGAATGGCCAAAGAATACACACTCGTGGTGTGCGAAGTTGTTGTTCCTTATCTCGCGTGAATGGATTGTGCTAACCGAATCGGATTACTCAATACTTTTTAGGGGGCCGTGAAAAAGGGGGTTGGGGTAAAAAATGTATTCGCGGGGCGATCGTTCAAAAATGGAACCATAGCGCAAATTGCATGCATAAATGGAGAGCACAAGGGTCATGTAAAAATCAGAGAAAAAAAAAAGTGTTAAAAAAAAAAAGAGTGACTATCCCGTGTTACTTAAAGTTAAAGATCCTTCCCTTGGAACAAGTGTATCATTACTCGCATAGGATGTTTAATTGATTTAACGTTTTCCCTTCCCATTTGACAATTTTACCGAAGACATGAATTTCCTCTTTTTTTTTTTTTCTTTTTTTATTTGTACACATTTTAATATTCCTCCCCTGCGGCCCCCGAAAAAAAAAAAAAAAGAAAAAAGTGCGCTTTATAATTTGCACTGTTCGCATACTTGTGCGTTCCAAGCATGCAGTGTGTCATTTTATTCATTTCTTTTGAGAGGAGAAGAATGTGCATTATACAATGAGCACCTAGCATACTCTCGTGGCAAATAAAATAATTTCGAGCTCGTTCTTTGGTCCGTTGAGGATATACACCCTGGGAAAGAGCACCTTGGCTGTTACGTTTCACAATTCGAGGGGTCGATAAGAGTTTTTTTTTTTTTTTTACATGTGTACCATCCGTTTTACACAAAATGTTCCAAAAGTTGAAACAAAACAGAAACAAAATGAACGCCCAAATTGCAAAAAAAAAAAAAAAAAAAAAAAAAAAAAAAAAGAAAAAAAAAAAAAAAAAATTGGCCAAGTTGACCTGTGCATCGTGTCAACCCCTAAGAGCGTAACTTAGGGAAGCACAAAGTGGAGAAAACAACTAACAAGTTTATGCTTTTAAAACAGTTTGGTACTTGTGAGGGGGAGGATGTTCTTACATGTTTTACCCCGCACAAGTGTGTACATGAACTAGATGCGATGGGTTTGTGTGTAACGCGAAGGGTTAAGTTATGGTAAAGAACAGTTGAAGAATAGCGGTCGTCAAGCAAATACTATAAAACTGTGAGGGGGGCAGCACGGAATGCATGTCGCTCTGTGTGCCACACCGCTACACAGCACCACTACACAAGTATGCCCACCTCAGGGGATCTCCCCGTTGAGTTGCACATCCTGGCGCTGATACAACTGCACACAGGACTCGGGTAGGAGAACCAGCTGGGGCAAAACGGTAATCACGTGCAGGTCCTCCATCTCATACCATTCGTTGGATGCCTGGTTGAGGACATGAATTTTGTAAGTGCCACTACTAACCGAGCCGCTGTGAAAAATATTAGCAATTAAATTGTATTTGGTCACAGGATTCTTGTCCAGGTAATCTTCATGTACATAATCTTTCATGTCTAAATTTTTTATAACAAAATTAACAATGGTACCATTTTTTTCTACAAAAAAATTATTTTTTGAAAACCTCTTAATGGTAAAGACTAAATATTTGGGCAACTTGGAAATGATTAAAGTGCTTGGCTCAGATTTTTCATTTAAAAAGGATTCCGTTTCTCCATCAAATTTAGTCAATAGCTCGAAAATGGATACCTGTGGTATGATGTTACTTTCTGTTGTGCTTTTAAAAATGGGTGGATTGGGAAGTTTTAAGGAAAGAGTTCGAAATGGAATTTTTTGCGTTACGTAATTTTTTTTTCCGTTCAATTCTTCCCCATCAGCCAAGTGTGTATCGTCTTCGTTCTCCGAATCGCTTACGTCATCCTCTTCCCATCCTTCATTATCCAATTGGTGAGGAAATTTGCCATCTTCACGTGTATTCCGTTCACTGTACGTGCCGTTTTTCCCCCCCTTGTTTATATTATGAGCACTGTTTATATTGTCATCTCCTTCAGAACTTTTTTTTTTTTTTTTTTCGTTCTGATAATTAGCTCGCCATCAAAGCAGTAGTCGATAATGTTTACCTGGTCGTACTTCCATTTTTTTTTTTTTTTTTTTTTTTTTTTCCTCTTGGTTGCTGAATCCACACCAGGGACAGGCTCTCCTGACATGTGTGACTCGGTGGAGGAGGACAACATATCATTGAATTGCGAGAGATGGTGCCCAGGTTGAATTTTGTCTTCTTCCTCCTCGTCATCATCATCTTCTTCTTCGTCCTCTTTATTTTTTCCGCCCGATGATCCATCTGCCCCTGTGGCGTTTTCTCCGCTTTGACCAATCTTCCTCTTCTTGGCCGTCCTACCCTTAATGCCCTTCCGCAGCGCTCTCTCCTCATGCCTATGTATTTTACTAATTAGCCAGAGAAAAAAGTCTAGCGGATCGTTCTTAGAACCAATTTTGAAGCTTTTCTTGGATTCAATGCCCACTGTTTGCAAAAACTCATGTGGGGACACAACCCCCTTGAAATTTCGAGGGTTAAAAATCTTTTTAATCAGTTCAGATAAAGAGGAGACGATATTTTTGGTCACATATTTTTTATTTTCGAATACTAAAAAAAAATTTCTTAATGGAATGATGCTACACACAAGCTGAATAATCACATTGCAATAATCAGTATGTTTTAAATTATTGAGTCCTACAAACCCAGGAAAAAAATCTGCACCATCTAGCGATTTTCCTAAAATGGAATTACGACAAATATATTCTACCTGCTGTATGCTATACGTTGGTTTTAAGAAATATTTTATATCATTTAGAGATGCATCCTCGATTTCATAATTTTCTGGGAGGCAACATGTTTTGCATGTTTCTAGGTTGATGAAGACATAATGGTTTTTTTCCAGAGCATGTGTGTATGCGTATGTTCCTTTTCCTATTCCTTGGAAGTAAAGTCCGCACACTAAGCATGCGTATACGTGTAGGTTGGACATACTGATGCTGCACAACTTTTCAAAGTCAAAGTCGAGCAGGTTTCTGTTGATGGTACGCAGGTACGGACACACCCTGCCCCTGGCCGCGGCCCGCGGAACAAGGAGACGGTCCTCGGTGATAGTGCTCACACTGTTCTCGTTTGTCCGGTTTTTCCCATTTATTGCGTTTGTTGCCACTGTCTGCTTCGGCTTGCCAGCTTGGTCCCCCTCCTGCACCTCCTTCGAGTAACTTTCCTGCTTTTTCTTCCTCCCCCGCTTGCTACCAGCCTGAGGCTTATCATCTGTACTCTTCTTTCTCGTTTTCTTTTCCATGGCTACACGTATTTATATACTACCCAGTACCTGCGACGTGATTGTGCACTAGGGACGCACTTGGCGCTGCTCATTCAGGCTTTCCCTAATGTGCTGCCCTGTGATGACCTCTACCAGGCTATCCCTGCAGCTATACGCGTGCGACATGTGAGTAAACCTCATGGCGAGGGGAATTCCATCGCATTACTATTTCAGTAAAACGTATGCAACGTATGTACTTAATAGTATTTATTTTGTTCATGTATGTTCTTTTTTTTTTTTTTTTTTTTTTTTTTCGAACGACGCTCGGGTATCAAGTGGACCCACGAGCAACTGCTCCTTCGGCAACAAATTCTGTGCCTGTTTTTTTTTTTTTTTTTTTTTTTTATTATATTTTCACCATCCTGTTTGGCATTGCACTATGTTCCCACCGCAAGTTAAAGCGGCAGATGCACTTTGTGGAAGTGACATCAATTCAAAGGTGCTGGTTTAAAAGGGCAAATCAAAAAATGCAGGTTCCAAAAATATGGCAACGATGCAGCAGCCAAGCCAGGACCAGACATGGTGGGATGTTTAGTAAAAAAAAAAAAAAAATTAAATGTACCGCATAGCAATGTGCTAAGCACAGCCGTAATACCAGTTGGCCACTTGGTTCCGGACATACGAATACGAGGAGTACTTTTTCAATAACCATACAAAGTTGGGAAGGAACAAAAGAGGCATTCCACTGCATGACAGAATAACAGACGCATGAGCCCTTCACACCCAGGTGCTTCTAAGCGCGCATGAGCGATTCTTGTAAACCCCCCCGTCTCCTATTTGTGCAACATACCTTTCCATGTACAGTTGATATTTCCACTGACGTTTCTCAGCTAGGTTTGCCTGTTAAATCCTACATCCACACACAAGTGCATTTGTGCATATGTATGCACATCAGTGAGCCCATCCGTGAGCCCATCCGTGAGCCCATCCGTGTGCATGGGTTATATGTGCGCTTGCTTCTATGCTTGCCTAGCACGCGAGAAGCCCGTTAGGATGGACATACTTAAGTGGGCTTTTCTCCCCCACTTTTGGAAATCAAAGCACACATGCCCGTAGAGGTGTACACATGGTATAGCATTTTATTAAAAGTTCAATTCGGATGCCGTTCCTCCTGATCACATATGGGAAGGGTCCTATATACCATGTGCTAATAAAAGTGACATATACAAAGTGCAGAGATAGGTTACCCACCCACATGGTTCTATAATAGTGGTAACATTACTTTTCCAACTTTTGCCTTATGCCGTACCTCACCTTTTCCCCTCTTTGCGCAAATGCTGTATTGCCAAGAGATGCGTCGTAGCAGGCAGATGGAAGTACCTTTTAAAAGGGATGCAACCGTCATTTGTGCGATGTATGCATATATATTTTGTGAGAAGCACTATGTGGGGGGTAACCATGTAGAGATTTACAAAAACTAAAAAAAAAAAAAGAACAAAATTCGTTGCTTTCTTTTGTTCACCCCATATGGTACTCTTCAAGGGTACCTGTGCGAAACAACTTTAATGTCTGTATTGCCTGGGTAGCGCAGACGCTGCTGGAAAATACACCTACCCAAAGGGCTGTCATAGCTTTATAATGTAGCAAAGGTGGAACAACAATTTTGAGTTTCTACATACACGGATACAAACTTGCACATGTGTTGTTCATGCATGTATATATATATGTCCCTGTCTGCGTTAGGAACTGAGAATACATCGCTCCTACCACTCATATCTACGTGACAGAAACGGTCTAACATGATGCAAATGGAATTGACGTGGAACCTTTTTTCTTCCCTTCGCAGGGATATGTACACACATATGCAAACCTACATGTACGTGCTATCGGCGTGCCGTCAAAATTGTTCACTCGGCATTACCTGCTAAGCAGGAACAACAACGTAAACAAAAAGGATCTATCATATGCATTTTCAAAGGGGCGAAAACATTTTCAGTGCCTTTACAAATGGAATAAAAAAAAAAAAAAAAAAA